GACAGAGTTCAGCCTCCTTCCCTGAAACAAACCATGGGTCAGAACTCATTTAGCCATGTAGTGCCTTATGACAGAAACAGTAAGAGGTGTTGATCAGATCACAATCTTGTGTATCTCTGCTCAAAATATAAACCCCTTGTTCAGAGGCAACCTGCAATAAAGAGAATAGTGAGAAAATGGTCAACGGAAGCTGAAGAAGCCCTGCGGGGTTGTTTTGACGCTACAGACTGGGATGTACTGTGCCAGCCACATGGAGAGGACATCAATGCCATGACTGAGTGTGTGACTGACTATATAAACTTCTGTGTAAACAACACCATCCCCACCAGAACAGTGAGATGCTTCCCCAATAACAAACCCTGGATTACCACTGACCTGAAGGAACTGCTAAACCAGAAAAAAAGAGCCTTCAGGGAGGGAGACAGGGAATTATTGAAGAGCACACAGAAGCAACTTAAAGTCAAGATAAGAAACAGCAAGGAGGTGTACAAGAAGAAGCTGGAGAGCAAGCTCCAACAGAACAATATCAGAGAGGTGTGGTCAGGGATGAAACAGATCACAGGCTTCAAGCAGAAGGAGGATCAGAAGGATGGAAGCCTGGACAGCCAATGAACTGAACACATTCTTCAATAGGTTCAGTTCAGGAACAAGCTCAGCATCCTCCTCTCTTGCCCACAGCCAAACATACATACCACCCTCCATTGACCCAAGGCTGTCCTATCACACCTCAAATATTGTATCTACCACCTCAGTCATGGACCCTTCTTCATATTGGTGATACCTCCTTTGCCTCCCCCCTCTGCGTCTCCAGAAGTCAGGTGAGGAAGCAGCTGGAGAGACTGAACCGGAATAAGGCTGCAGGTCCAGATGGTGTCAGTCCCAAAGTCCTGCAGGTCTGTGCAGAGCAGCTCTGTGGGGTTCTGCAGCACCTCTTCAACCTTAGCCTGACCCAGGAGAAGGTTCCAGTGTTGTGGAAAACATCCTGTCTTGTTCCCGTGCCAAAGAAAACGCACCCATCAGTCCTCAATGACTATAGACCTGTTGCCCTGACATCCCACATCATAAAGGTCCTAGAGAGACTTCTGCTGACCCACCTGACTAGACAAACAAGCACATATCAGGACCCACTGCAGTTTGCTTATCAGCGTGGACTTGGATTTGAAGATGCCATCATACACCTGCTTCAGCAAACTCACTGTCATCTAGAAAAGGCAGACAGCACTGTGAGAGTCATGTTCTTTGATTTCTCCAGTGCATTTAACACAATCCAGCCTGATTTGCTTTGTCAGAAACTCCAGAAGACTCAGGTGGAGGCCTCAACAATCGCCTGGATCAAAGACTACCTGACGGACAGACCACAGTTTGTGAGACTGAAGGGTTGTGTGTCTAACCAGGTGGTCAGTAGCTCAGGAGCACCACAGGGCACTGTACTCTCATCATTCCTTTTCACTCTGTACACCTCAGATTTCCAGTACAAAACAGACTCCTGTCATCTGCAGAAATATTCTGATGACTCTGCAGTAGTCGGGTGTATCAGAGATGGACAAGAAGCTGAGTACAGGGAACTGGTGGACCGCTTTGTGGCATGGTGTGGAAACAATCATCTCATCTTGAATGTGAACAAAACAAAGGAGATGATTGTAGATTTCAGGAGAATCAGGAACAGATCCAACCCTATTTTTATCATGGGAGAAGAAGTGGAGGTGGTGGAGAAGTATAAATACCTTGGAGTTCACCTGGACAACAGACTGGACTGGAAATGCAACAGTGAAGCCATCTACAAGAAGGGACAGAGCAGACTGTACTTCTTGAGGAAGCTGAAGTCCTTCAACGTTTGCAGCAAGATGCTGCATATCTTCTATAAGTCTGTTGTAGAGAGTGCTATCTCTTCTGCCATCATCTGCTGGGGGAGCAGCACCAGAGCAAGTGACTTAAAAAAGATCAACAAGCTCATAAAGAAGGCTGGCTCAGTTCTGGGGACTCCTCTAGAACCTTTGGAGATGATTGTTCAAAGAAGGATTCTTCATAAAATGAAGAACATTATAGACGACCCTCAGCATCCTCTTCATCAGACTGTCATACAACAACAAAGTGTCTTCAGTCAGAGGCTTCTTCAAATCCGTTGTAGGACAGACCGCTACAAGAGATCCTTCCTGCCCACAGCCATCAGCATCTATAACAACTCAATGAAACCAGGATGATGAGTTACCCAACATATAATTTCCCTCTGGGATTAATAAAGTATATTTTGAATTGAGACATTAATAAAGCCGTGGCTTATCATATCGCTAAAGACACAGTCCTTAGCGGCTAACAAAGACTGCTAATGCTTTAGCCATCATAAGTGTTTCGGTTTTCTTGTGACTTATTTGCAGTATGATAAATGGTAGGAGCATAAATTTAAATGGTAAATGGACTGTACTTATATAGCGCCTTTCTTTATTTCAAGATACTCAAAGCGCTTTACACTACAATCTGTGCCCTCATTTACCCATTCATACAGCACTCAACTAGATCTCTACAAAGCCAATTGAACAAATCATTCTAGAGACTAATCAGAGCTTTATCACATTCATACACCGATGGGACATACAGAGGCTATGAGTGGTTCAGTGTCTTGCCCAGGGACACTTCGACATGTGACTGCTGGTGGATTCGAACTCCCAACTCTCGCATTGGAGGACGACTGCTCTAACCACTCAGCCACAGCCGCCCCAATTTACACTCCCAATGTTTTGTTGCCCCTTTTTTTGTAAACAATTATGTTTTTTTGTGAATATGGTATAGCGTCTTGAGTTACTATGATGTCACAGCAACTAGTCGATGTCGACTTTTATCATGTTCAAGTCGACTTTAAAAAATATTAAGTCATGCAACCCCTATTTTGTACACTTGCGAAAATGTTGAAATTTGTGAATCACCCCTTTTACAACCTCAGGAAACACAAAATAATTAGAATGGAGAGGAGAAAAGCGGGCACTGCTAACTTCATTCACGTCCCGGGAGAGGGGGGGTTGGGGTTCAGTTCTGTTGACAGGGCGCCCTACTTGGACCAAACTATAGACCAGGATGGAAGCAGAGTGTGGGGAGAGGGATGGACGGAGACGGTTGATGTTTCGAAAGTGGAAGTATGCAGACCAGGTGATATTATTGATGTGAGAGCGAAAAGAGAGAGTGCTGTCAAGAATGACACCCAGACTCTTAAAGTGAGGGGAGGGAGAACCCATGGAGCTGTCAATGGTGAGGGAAAAATTGTTGACTTTAGATATGGTGGATTTAGAGCCGATGAGTAGAAACTCTGTTTTATCACAGTTTAATTTAAGGAAGTTGGATGTAAACCAGGATTTAATTTCAGCTAAGCAAGAAGTGAGGGACAAAGGAGGAAGTGAAGAATTAGGTGCAGTGGATAAGAAGAGCTGGGTGTCGTTGGCAAAACAATGGAAGTGCATGTTAAATTTACGGAAGATATTGCAGAAGGGAAGAAGGTAGATGATGTAAAGAAGGGGCCCAAGGACAGAGCATTAGGGCACATCTGAAGTGACGGGGGAGGAGTGGGATCTGAATGACTTAAGTTGGATGAACTGAGTGCAGCCAGAGAGATATGACTGAAACCAAGCGAATGGTGTATGGGTGATGCCAATGGATGAAAGTTTGCGGAGGAGTATGTTGTGGGAGATGTTATCAAACGCCGCACTAAGATCGAGGACGATGAGGAGAGAAAGTAAACCAGAATCTGCTGCCATGAGATGAGTGTTAGTGCTTTTAAGGAGAGCAGATTCTGTGCCGTGACCTGGGCAGAAACCAGACTGGAACTGTTCGTATAGACCATTTTTGGTTAAATGGAGGTTGAGTTGAAAAGCGACAGTTTTTTTCCAGAATTTTAGAGATGAATGGAAGATTAGAAATGGGGCGAAGATTGTTGAAAATATTTGGATCCAATCCAGGCTTCTTAAGGATCAGAGTGATAACTGAAGTTTTGAAAATGGTACAGTTCCTGAAGAAAGAGAAGAGTGAATAATGGCAGAAATGATAGGGAGAAGTGAAAAAAGGTAAGATTTTACAAGTACTGTTGGGAAAGGATCTAGAGAACAAGTAGAGGGCTTGGATTTCAGAATGAGTTTAGCTATTTCAGAGGCAGGAGGAAGCTGAAAGACAGAAAAAGGCTGACTGAGGGAAGAAGGTTCAGAGGAGGGAGGAAGAGGAGAGACAGGGCAAAGTTGCTGATTACTTTTTCTGATTTTATGATTAAAAAAGAACATGAGAGAATTACAGGTGTCATCTGAATAGAAATGAGAGAGAAGAGAGTCAGGGGGATGAAAAGTATTGTTTAACAGTGAAAACAGGTTCTTGGTGTTACCTTTATCGGAGGAAATGAGGCCAGAGTAGAATGAATATTTAGTTTGCGAGATTAAGATCTTGTAATGTGATGTCAGAGATGTACATGTTCTTATGGATGGTAAGACCAGATTTTTTATAGAGTGGTTCCAGTTGACAACATTTGGCTTTGATGGACCGGAGTTCAGGAGTAAACCAGGGGGTAGAATGAGTAAAGGTAACAGATCGCGTTTTAACAGGAGCAAGGGAGTTGAGAATATGGGTCAAGTGATTATTATATTGAGCAGTAAGTTGATCAGGAGTCAGAAGATGTTCAGGTATCAGAATGGAGGTAATACTAGATGAGAAAGGGAATCCAAATTAATGTCTTTAATGTTCCTGAACGAGATGAATAAGAATGAGGTCCAAGTGATTAAATCTGTGTTTGAACTTACAAACAGTGAAACACCTTTATACTATATTGGAGACTGAAATGACCAAATCTAAAACTTTACATAAAAGTCATTAACTTACAATTTGCAGATTGAATTCAACGCTTAAGCTAAAAAAGGAAAACATTGCAAACATTTCGGATTGGATTAACTTTGTTAGATTAATCCATTATTTTATTATGCAAGCAAGATTAACAGATTGTTTCAGTTTCCCTACGCTACACATTCACTCACTTGGAAGCAGTCCAGCTGGGGGCTGACCCATGCCAGTCGGCCCCAGATTCAGACCCTGTCTCTGCATCCGGGTTCTTCTTTTTTCCTCCAGTTCTTTCTGGATCTTATAAATCTTTTCTGCTAGCAAGTGATAATACTCAGCCTGTCAAAGATGGGGAGGAGAGAGAGACAATAAGAACATGGAATTTTTTTATAGACGACTTAACAGTAAAGAAAAAAAAGGACCCTCATAGATTACCAGTATTTGATAACTCTCCTAGATACCATCTTACAATAGCAGAATTTATTGTGTGAAGGCTGAGTCAGCATTTTTTAACATTATTTTTGTTTTACTTTTTATTTTTTAAACCACTGACAGTGATAAATAAACTATTATTTTTTGTGTTTTGTGTTTGTTTTGTCTTACGGAACGTCATGTGCCATAGATGAGAAACCTTTCCTTTCAATTCTGACTTATTAAAGCAAGTCTGGTTGAATGAGGCACGGAGCAGAATTCAGCTGTGTTGACATGGAGCACAATGCATTAAATGTGATGAACATTTCCCTTGTCTTGTATCCAAACATAATGAATTAACTCAGTGATTCTATTTGCGGTTAACAATATTTTTGAACTCAATACAAAGTTGCTGTTAGGAATGTGCGATATGGCATAAAATTCATATCACGATGTGTATCATGAAGGGTGGTGATAACGATATATATCGCAATACGTTTTTGGTATAAAACTTGCTAAAAAAAAAAAAGCATAGGGTGTCCTTTTGCCATCATATATTTTGAATTAAGAAAATTCCACTACTAGGTCCAGAGTTTTTAAATAATAAACAAATCAAGTATTAGGCTTCTTTCTTGTAGTGCAGAACAGTGCAAAAGATATCAAATGTAGTTTTAGCCATATGTTTTAAACAAAAAAATATGTTGTTAACTCTTAACAGTTTCCAGTCTTACTTAAGAAATGAACAGCAACAGAGCAGCATTTTACACTGAAACACTTCACCCTCCAACCCTCTAGTGGGCGACTCCTTCCGCTTTAATGGAGAACTGACACAAAATGAATCTGTGGCTTTGACCAGAGGGTCTCACAGTAAAATCACACAACACGGCATTATTTTCACAGATCAGAGAGCAGGTTTCTCTAAAGCTGACCAACGCTTACTTTAACTTTCGATGGAAAAAAAAACAAAAAACTTTTGACGGAACACAGCGTTTTGCGCATGAGTCAGAATATGGCAACACTAGGGCAAGTCGGCTGTAGTTAGCTTGTAGCTTCGCTACTTAGCTCTCGAAGACTTTAACGCCACTTGCGCACAGTTTTCAACTAAAAAAAAAGTAACGCTTAAACCGACAACTCTGATTTACTTCAGACACAGCATTACTGCAGTTAGCCGGTCTAAGACAGATCTCTATCGTAGGCTCAATTTCTATCATTTCTACCGTATATATCGCGCATTCCTAGTTGCTGTATGTCATTATGGAGCCTTCCTCTGTAACAAATCTGTTGTTTAATTCTAACAATATGTAATCACTTCATTATATCACTGAGCCACAAAGCCAGCTTCATTTTTCACACGATGACTGTTCGCCTCTGTTACTACTTTCGCTTTGCGTCACAAAGGTGCATCACAGGTGGTTTGGCTCCAAACTTCTTCAACTCTCATTTCATCTGCTTATTTTTCTTTTCTAAAAAAGTTCAATCTGGTCCTCTGGATATTCAAAAAAACAAAAAACA